CTCAAAGCCGATCTCCGGGCCGGCATCGCAAATGCAACGTCATCTCGAGAGGCGCACGGCAATCAGGCAATGTGGTCCGAGCCCTTCTCCCTGCCCTCCGATGGCCAAGTCTTGATGCTCTCGGGGCGTTCTGGACCACCAAACGAGCGAATGCATCGCCGAGGTGTTTGAAATGTGCTTTTTAACTGCAATGTAGTTGATTTGATATTCATACTTGCGGCTGGCTCGCCGCGTATCATCTTTCAGTGTAATTGTGTTGGTTTGTCGGCCTTTTTAGTAACGAAAGCAGTTAATAAAAGTAATGAAGGTTTAGTAATACCCTATACAGGAGGATTGGTGGGTTATTATTAGCATTATATATTAAAATTATAGTGGTTTTGATTTAAACTTTAATTATGAAATTACTTCTGATGGGGAATAGAGTTCTTGAAACTCATAGCCCTCTTAGAAATCTGAAATACCCTCCGTCGAGATACAAGTGTAACAACATCGTCAATGGTCAGTCGCGGCTATATAATTACTTCGTTTTTGCATACAAATGCTGATTGCATTTGCTCCCCAAAGAAGACCGACAGGGCAGCGAAAAAATAAAACATTACTTCCTCTTGTCAGTCAGCTGAGGTGAGTCAGTGCGTGTCAGCGTGGAATGGTCTCGATATGTGAGAGCTACTGTAATTTCCACTCGCATTAATTATGTTAAACACAAGTCTCAATATTTAAACAAGCGGCCCCCCCGAAAAAAGTGCAGTCCAAATGAACCACTGAACCGTTTGTTTGAGCACGGCCAACGCAAAAGTCAAAAGACAAAGGGGCCGCCACCGATGCCGCTGCCGCTGCCGCAGCCGCAGCTACTGCTTTTTTTGTTGTATTTCTTATTTTGTTTTTGGGTTTTGTGGACCAGTCAGCAGCATCTACAGCATCGACAGCCTCATCAAAGCCGCCGCAGCTGGGGCAGCGCTGTAATTATCACACGTCGGTCAAAATCAACGCCACCAACGGCCACGCGCACTCTCGTCCAACTCTATTAACTCAATTAAGAGGCCAACGCACAAATATTTGTATGCGGCATTCATTCGAAAAAGTATCCAAACAGTGTTCTCCATCGGATGTAAATAAGAGAATGCCGCAGGCTTTTACAGGAAAGCGTTGGAGTATGAGGGGCCACTCATGTATTGATACAGAAGATCTCGATGCGTATACGCCGTGTGGCACGTAGAGAGCTTGGGCAGGAAATAAAGAATTGCAAGAACACAACCGGGAAATGGATATCATAATACTAAGGATCAAATACTCAAAACATGAGGCATTATTTATTAGATATCTTTATTTTATTAAATTTTATTTTCCTTTTTTGGGTATACTTCGTATAGTTTTTATAGCCTACATTTTTTGTCAGTGTAAGCTTCTTGGCCCGGATCGAACTGCTCTGCTGCGGTTCGCTAGCCACTCTCACAGTAAGAAATCCAAACAAAAAAAAAGTAACAGATTGAGATAAAAGCACAAGCCCCGAAAATAGAAACGAAGATGAAAAAGTTAAACATTTCAATTTGAGCATCGCTTTAATTAGCATGCGCTTGTTCATTGTTTTCCGTTTTTGTGCTTTCCATCGAGCGTTTGATTTGTTGACTCGCATTTGCTTTCTGGCTTTTAGCCGGGATGGCTTGATTAGCGTGCCCAACGGAGGCTGCCAGCTTGGCCCGAAAGCCATCTCTTTTGGCCTGGTCTTTGACTTTGCCTCCAGCCCGGGTCCAATTCCAATTCCGACTCCGAGCCCGAGTCCGAGTCGAAAAAAATCCAACCTCCGGATGAGGGCATTCGCTTTGTGGGTGGCCCCTAAACGGCTTAGTTCGCTCTGCTACTTTTTCCTTTGGACCATCTTTTGTTTGGCCGGAGCTTTCTTGGCCATGCCGATGATTACTGTGAAATTGGCAATGTTTAATGGTCGCTCCAGCTCAAGTGTCTTTTGTGTCTAACTACTTTTCTCTTTGATGAGTTTTCTTTTCTGTCATTTGTCTTTCGGACACAAAGCTCTAAAGTCGGGGGACTTTCTCTTTGATTCTGTGGTAGAAGTTGGGAATTTCTTTCGAATAAACAATGCACTAATAATGTCTTGGTTAAGCAAGATTTAATCTTGCCAAAAAAGCCAAAAGATCAAGCCACTATTTTTAGTAAATCAAAAAACACACCTCCCTTAAACGGACAGAATAAAGGTGTGTAAATGCATAATTAACGTATATGTGGCTATCGGTAGTAATACATTTTTCGTCATGCTACCAAAAGCTAAGTAATTTCGATTTTAGATCGCGGGAACCTCGATTTTGTATCTGCCCCACAACATCAGGTGGCAGTGAGAGGCATGTGTCAATGCTGCGTGGGTCGGTGACTGTGGCTGTGGCTTGAAAATATAAACCGAAAGTGACTCCATGGCATATGCAAATTGCTTAAGGCCCACGGCAAAAACTACTAAAAAATCGAAAATAAATATGCTTATGGGAGCTGTGACTACGAGTTGTGGCTGCTGTTGAAAGCTTGCTAATTGACAATTACAGACAAAGTAGTTGTTTAATTTAATAGTTAATAGTGGGGCTCTAGGTTATAAGCTGCATTAGTAAAAGGTTAATTGCCAAATGGGTTATGGGTTGTTGACAAACAAAAACTAAACTATCAATCTCTTATTATTATTTTTTTAAGAATTGTCTTTTTAAATATAAGACAAACATAAACTTAAATTACAGGTAATTTGAATTACAGCTTAGAGGTATGGGCGTTACTTGTTTAATCTTTATTGTATAATACCATACTTAAGCTAAAATTAAGTTCACTTTGCATAGATTACTGGCATGATATCTAGCCATGGAAGCCACAATCTAAATTATAGGAAATTTATAATTTCCGGGCGTTCAATTGAATCAGCTGCTCCGGCTGTTTTGTCCAACCTTTATCCGGCAGCTGCCTTGAACCGATAAATCATTGAAATCGTCGCCCGATACTTTAATTTGAATATTAATGAACCCTTTCCCAGCACTTTCTCCACAGGACCATATCAGCGTGTGAATGAAGCCACACACAGCTATCATAGAGTCGGGGTTACAGGTGTAAATTGTCTTTCCCTGCCAAGGATTTCTTGAGTCTCAAGGACCTAGTATAATTAACACCGCGGCTTTTCCCACGCAGCCGGAATATTTGTGTGTATCTAATAGATACACTAATAGCCGCCAAGAACAAAGACGGAAATATACAGAAGAAATTAGAATTATAAAAAATACAGAAGCGCTAAACGCGGGAAATCAAAAGTGCCGCTCGCGGCGAAACTCAATCACAAACCGAATGCTCAAATATTTGTGTGATTAGTCCTTATCAATAGCCGCTCGGCAGGAGCATCAGGTAGCCCGGGACCGGCATACCGAGCGACCATCCGGGATCCGAAAAGGTCCCAGATATACTCGAAACCCTGTGGACCCACTGCGGCTAAAGTCGGGCGCTGAGCCTGCGGTGGTCGCGCCGTCGATTCCTTTCTCGTTTAACGTCCTGCTGCGACGGCAATTGGTTTCGATTTTCGATTTTTCGTTAATAGACCTTTGGCCTTTGTCTTCAGACGACCTGACGCCTTTGTGCTGCCGTCTACTGTGCTGTTTTAGCTGCTGCTGCCCTTTGTTCTCCGCTGGTTGTTGCAACAATTCACATTTGTTTCAATTAAAGGGATTTGGAGTGTTTGTTGGGCTTGTAAGTGTCAGCATTTGCCTTCAAGTTGGCTAAAACGTGTGGACAATTGCAAATTGGTTGCATTTAAGTTGATGTCTGTCGCAGAGCGGCAATGATCAGAGAATTTTGTGGTATGCCACGAAGGCAGGCCATGTTGTTGATCTTAAACATCTATCCTGCCTAAAAATAGAGTCCTATTATCTCAGCTTACAAATAATAAAACGATCCTCCCATTTAAAAAGCCGTCGGTTCCACAACATTCACTTCCATGTACGTACAACAAAATATAGATTTTTAACCAACAACCTTATAATTTCGTTGCGACACTAAATAACCAGTTGGTAGTAAGAAACGACACTCGGGCAATTGGCTCCTAACAACAAAGTATGGGGACTACTTACTTATGTATAGTACTTTCTATGCCACCATCCCGAACTGGCTTCATTTTCATTCTCAGACTCAAATTAATTTCAAAATGTCTTCAAATTTATGCGCATTTTTTATTTTCCTTACCCACGATACGGTTGCCCTACCGCTTCGTTTCTAGTATTGTTGGCTGTTGTTCTCCAAATTAATTATTCGTTTTTCTTACACCAAATTAATTGCAAACGCTTGACAATTAAACGCGGGCTGCCTTTAGGGGGTCATCGTCATTAATGCTAACTGAAAGGGGGGTTCCTAGAGACGGCCAGGGGGGGCCTGGAGGGGCTGGTGGAGACATGGCCCTCTGCCGCTGTCGCTGCCGACGTCGTTTGAAGTTGTGAAAACTTTGCAGCGACTAAATACTAAATACAGTCTCGTTACAATCTGAGGAGCGTCGCACTTCGCGTCTCTTTTCCGCTCGGCGCGCCATCTCGCTTGTACACCCGGTCGGATGATGAACGCCATAATTACCGTTACGTATACGCCACCATTGCTATTTTTTGTTGCTGTAGCCGATTGGTGCTGAGAGCTGCCGCGAAAGAGACGGCCTAAACAGGCAGCTGTCCCCCTCTAGCTTGGGTGATTAGGCCGAAAACTGGTTTTTCCTCTCCAGGAGAGAGCAAGCGGAAACGTCGACAACGAAGCCGAGCTTGTTGTGCAGTTATGATTTGATTGCCGAGGCCGAGGGTTTAACTTTAACCACCGACAAACGAGACACGACCGAGCCGCGCCGAGAGAGTGAGAGAGCGCGAGCAGCCGAAGAGCGAGACGGCCGAGCGCCGAGCAGAGAGCAGCGCGGCAGCAGCAAAAGAACTGAAGAAATATCGACGTGTCTAGTTAGCAAACCAATCTTCAATCTAGTTTCGAGCGTCGAGTTGAGAGGTCCTACCTATTGGATCAGCGCCGTCGTAGTCGTTTAACCCACAGATAAATTAGTGCTAACCCGAGAGATACAAGTACTTTCGAATACTTGAAATTACAATCAGTGACACAGAACAGTTTGTGTTCCGAGCTAAGAAACAAAGTATAAACGCAACTCCCAAGCGAACCAAGTGAAAAACAAGTCCAGAGACCTCCTTAAATGCTCTGCCCTCCAACCATGCGTCCGGCCAGCCCCGCCGAATCCGAGATCTCCGTGGGTGGAGCCCCCAGCCCGCTGCCCACCCAGCACTCACTTCCGAACCCACATCCGCATCCGCTGCACCACCCCCGTGCCAGCACCATCGATCTCCTCCAGCAGCAGCAGCTGCTGATGCAACAGCACGCTGCCGCGGCAGCTGCCGCCTTTGGACTGGGCCGCACTGCCGTCGGCGGCCTGCCGGAGGATTACTTCCAGCCGCTGAAGCGCTTGCGCATGTCCTCCTCGTCGTCGGAGCCACGTGATCACACTCCCAGTCCTCCGGCTCCGGCTGCTGTTCCGGAAAACCCGACAGCCGGACAAACAAACACCAAATCCGCCATCGAAGGCGTCAAGAGCTTCTCCATCGCAGATATCTTGGGTCATTCGGAGAAGCAGCGTGAGGAGTCTGTGTCGCCCCCGCCGGCCTCGAATCTGTTGGCTCCACCCGCCTCCCGACCGGCGCCTTCAGCCGGAGGACTACTGCAACCGCGAACCGAGCCCCTGGATGTTCACCCGGCTGCAGCGGCCGCCATGCTTTTACCCGGCGGACAAATCGTGCGGCCCTGGGATCACCTCCTGGGTCCAGCCATGCCCGTTCGCCCCTTCATTCCATCCGCCCTGTTGCACTACGAGCAGCGTCTGGCCTTGGATTACCACCGCCAGCTGCAGGAGCACTTCAATGCCCAGGCCCAACTGCTGCGCCACATGGGCATGGATATCATTCCGTCGGAGAGCGGCTCGGATCGTTCTAGCTCCGCTGCCAGCGACTGCTGTTCTCCAGAGATCGCCCGGGACTCGGCAGCTGCCGCTGCTGCAGCATCCGCCGCTTCCGCCTCCCGGCACAGCCCCCAGTCTTCAGCGCAGCCCGGTGGATCCGTCACTGCGGCCAGTCCCTCCCAGAGTGGGGCAGGCACAGCAGGATCCGCTGCTGGAGCCAATAATGCAGCCGCCGTTGCCAAGGCCAAGGCCAATGGCACACCATTGGATGCACTGTTCCAGATGACCACCAAGGACTTTGATGAGTCACAAGGTAAGGATCGTGGTTTTATTATTGATCTAGCTACCTAGATAGAAAAGAATATCCATTAATTAAACTTCCATTAGCAAAAAGTCTCGAGCGCTTTCGTCATCTTGACAAATGTCTCAATTCTATAATGAATTTACCCGATTTCTTAATTAGAATAAAAGCTTATAATTTGTTATCGTTTGGAAATTGGGGAGCCAAAACCCCAGCAGCTGAATATTCAGCTTATTATGATGCTTGCCATTTATCAATCAGCAAATTCGAATTTCGTTTAATTGAAATGAATGGCACTGTTCCCTTTCGCCCCGCCGATATCTGGGTTTTTGTTATGTAAATTCCTTAACCGATTCGATTTCTGACTTTTAATTAATTGGCAGCATGCGCCAAAGTTTCGATCAGACAGAAATAAATGGGAATACACATACGTATAGTATTACAATTGGAAAGCAGAACTTTGCTCCTAAAAGATTGGAGGGTCAAGTCCCCCCTTCGTCACAGTTCAAGCCAACTTAGTGGGCGTTTTAGCCTAGTCTAGTATGCGTCCTCTACCTCGCTAGTGATTTCATGGCAATTAATGTCTAATAGTCCCGACTGTCCACATTAGTTTGCCTGTGTCGCCGTGTCGATTCTGCAGCGATTAGCAGCAATTAGCTAGCGGTGCATTACCTAATCGAGTTTTGTATTTGCGGCTGCTCATCGAACAATTAACATGCCGTTTCCATTTGTTATTTGTTGCTACTCAAAACTAATGGCCGACAAACTCTAGTGGTTATTGCTTTGGCCATAGTCATAGCTCCACTCGTAAACATGTTTTAAAATACACTGATCGAGCGATTAGCGGCGACACTCGCCAGCCCCCCTGTTGTATAATACTGTATCTTCAAGTATTAAGTTGACAAAATACACATATTATTGTTTATCGCGGATTGTATAACCCCAAGTCGAAATATTTATGACCACTGGAATGTTTCGACTTCGAAGCCATCGTTTGTCTATCAACGGCTCGTGGGTCTGGAACGATAGGCAGCTGCGAGGACACCGTGGAATGTTAATTTATGAGGAGTAGACATTAATATCACTGACACTATAGCACAGATATTCTTTATCGAAATAGACTAGTTTTTTGTGGAACTCATTTGGCTTTCCACATATGGCTGGTGGCTTTTCTTTTTCTTACCCTCCCGTGACTTTAATGACCCAGCAAAAAATGCCAGACACAGTGTCGCCCCTAGTGGACTAATTGCAATTCTCGGTACTCGCGCCAAATTAAAACATAAAACCACTGTTTCCAACTGTTGCCCTGCTAGTATTCCTCGGAATTCGATCAGGTTTCCCTCTTGCCATGTTTAAACATATTGGACATATTTCTCTGACAAATACCACCAAAACAAAACTCCCTCTAACTAATAGTGAAATTTATGCCCTGTAAGTGGACACCTGAGAGCCAGAAAGGATACCCAAGTGGCCAACTCATTTCTCTTTCGAATTTTCCCTCGCTTGGAGATAAGTCATGGAAATTACTTAATGAGGCCCCGATAAAAACAAATACAGGGCGACAGGCTCTGGGAAAGGAGAAAGGGAGGCGTTCAGTCAAGTGCCTAATGGGTTTTGGGTTACAAAACGTGCTCGAGATAACAAATGACCAAATTATGCGTTTGCATTTCGAATATATGGTACACAAAAAACTGGTATACCCACATGGCTTCGTTTGCATTTTGTCGTTTGGTTGGAGGGCATTTAATTAGTTTTTAATGTTGATCTAGTTTGTTTGACAAGCAATCGGAAGGGGTGTGAAGCCATAGCCGTAGCCATAGCCCATATCGACCTGTGAACCGGTTAGCCAATATTCAATAAATAAATATTTATGCAGATGGCAGCGACCAGATCGTTGATCGCTTTGATTGGCACCGCCAATCTGCGATTTTATATCTCAACTATTTTGTATCTCAGCTGCATACCAGGAAACGTTATGCAAGCTCAATCAGAGCCTTAAGTACAGGTCACTGGCTCATTAATCAAGCTTCGGGTGTACCACTTAAAACTGATTTGTAGGTGTCAATAATTATTATAAATCACACGACAAACAAGACAAATGAGCAGCTCGCCTTGCACAATGCCTGAGAAACCTGCGAGCGTCATTAGAGCCACAACCGCCCACAACTGGCGCAATCAATCAGCTCGAAATTATACACTCCAAGCTCGGAGCGAAGTGCTCGCGGAATCGCGACTGCAATTACAATTGCAATTGCATTCATAAAATGTATCAATCATGGCACTTAAACTAACACGACCCTCTCACGCCGCGCGGCAATTAAAACTAATTGCAAAATCGCTTGTTAGTAACCGGTTTTGCATCTCAGAAAGAGTCTTAGACCTAATCGATTTTATGGTTGATCAAAGATTTTATTGAAAGTCTCTTAATAGTTTCAAAGACAACATCTAACCACTGGCTTCACCTTTTACCATTTTAGATAAATCCCATCTGGACATCTTCTCGAACCGACCGCAGCCCAAGAAGAAGCGCAAGTCGCGTACCGCCTTCACCAACCACCAGATCTTTGAGCTGGAGAAGCGTTTCCTCTACCAGAAGTACCTGTCCCCAGCGGATCGCGACGAGATCGCCGCCTCCCTGGGCCTGTCTAACGCCCAGGTTATCACCTGGTTCCAGAATCGCCGGGCCAAGCAGAAGCGCGACATCGAGGAGCTGAAGAAGGACTTCGACAGCGTCAAGGTCTTCTCCGCGCACAAGTCCTTCCTGGAGAACGTGAACGATCTGAGCATCCTGAAGAAGAAGCCCATGCACGAGGCGGATATGGTGGGTCTGGCAGCTGCAGCAGCTGCTGCAGGAATGGTGGCAGTACCAGTGCCAGGATCTGCTCCCCTCGCTGGTGCCCCGCCCAAATGAGGGCGTGGCCAGGTGCGCACCGAACCGCCAAGGCAACCTGATGATTGGTACAGAAAGTGAGCAACGAGGAGACGAGTATTTTGTTTAATTTTGTGTCGAGTGCCGGGGAACAGCTTCCCCTCTGAAGCATTTGACGGCTAGAGGAAGTGGCAGGACATCCTTACCAGCTTCCACTGCCAATACAACTAAGTGGGCGAAAGGCTGAATCAGAAGCCAGCCCCAATCGGAATAAAACCAGCCACCCAGACAGGACCAAGGCCGTTTGTGGCCAGAACATGCTAGAACAGCCATAACCGGAAACGGAAATGGACATGCAACCAGCCAGAACTAGGCTCGGACAGAGCCAGAGAACCATCGATCAGAACCAATTTGAATCGGCTCTTTTCAGAGCCACCAAAAAGATTATAAAAAGAGGTTTTTCGAATTTCAATAAAAGGTTCTGAAAGAAGGTCTATTATTTAATCACCGATTTCTAATCAGTAGCAAAACCTTAAGTTACAGTTTACCTTTGGAGGGAGGCTTTTGTTATTCAAGTTCGTCGACCAATTAGCGTTTAAAAGCGAAATCAGTTTCACTCCAATTAATAATTTGAGGCAAACAAAGGGAGCTACCAAAGACCGCAAATTGTTGTCAATAAATTTAAGCATATTTAAGCAAACAATGCTGGTAAATTTAAGCTTCCACTCGGCTTGTGTCGGTGGGTTCGATTGAATTTGTGGATAACTGGGGATCCGAACTGGAATTTGAATATATATTTCGTTTCAGCTTCGATCGATCTTAATGATGTTGCTACGTATTTTGTTGAATTTGATGATGATGCTGAGTGGCGGAGCCTTAAAATAAAAGAAATCTTTTTTAATTTTTATTAATGATTATTTACAACCGTTATTCATAAATTCAAACTAATTAATTATTAATTTAATCACTTGCCACGAACGAAAACGAGTTGGGTAAAAAGTCCGAAACCCGAAACAAAAGCCAGAATGAATCCAAGTGTCTAAAGTCGAGCCGTGGTGTGAGCTGATCGCTTTGTTTTTGGCCTTTTATTTGCAGATTTGTGCACGGCGCCAATTTGCATACGAAATTTACTCAAAATTATTTCGATATTTATTAATTTTCGAAGCGATCATTTTCATAAATTTGGAACTGGGAGCCGGCCGATCTCCGGCTACCGTTTGCGGCAAAGTTCAAAGGTGGCCCATCGTCGCCAGCGGCGCACACATTTTTCACTCCCGAACCGAAAGATGAGAAGCCGAGATACTGGAAAGATGACCTGCGAGCTCTCCGCGGCTGAAGTGCGCCATCAATCTCGGTATCGACCCCAACGAACTTGGCCAGAAGCCAGCAGCCAAGCCAGCCGCTCAACCGATCGTTTGTTAATCATTTGAATAATCAAGCTATCAATTCCGCTGCTAATGATGCCCGATACCAGTACCGATGCGGACCAACTGCTCCGAAAACACACTCCCATACTGGCTAACAGTTCGTAAACTAGACGGGAAAAGCCTCCTGCATATGCATGAGATGCAGATCACCGATCCAGATCCGAAACTCACTTTAAAGCAATTTATTTTCATTTCCAAATGTGTGACAATGCAACGCAGCGCCGCGATAAAGAAACTTTTAGAGTCCACCGCCCAAACAGACTCTGGGCTGGTCTCTGAGGTGTCTCTGGGCTCTCGGGTGTTATTAATGCGCTTGGAAAGTGCCTGGCGAAAGTATCGTCGAAGAGGCATTTAATTGAAATTGAGTTGTACTACAAATTACTAAGCCCGAGGCCATTACCGGTGGCATTTGGCTTTAGTAGCTGAGAAAATTTGCCGGGCAAATCGAGGTAAACGGCGACCGGCTCTAATTATGGGAAAATCTCCCAGCGACTCGGCGCTTCCGTGAAAACAAACAGAAATGCGTAAATGTCGAAACCCATTAATCGAATCAACTAAAAATGACTAATGAACCTACCGCACGATGAGTGGAAGTGCCTCATGAGCCTTACAGCCCGCTTTAATGAGGCCAGATGCGAGTAAGATGGCTGATGGTCTTGATTGCGGTGGTCGGGTATGTTCGGGAAATGGCCCTGTTAATGGAATTAATAGTTTGTTTCTCGAAAAATGCTAGTCGGAAGCAAAGAATAGATTCTTTAATTTATTTAAATTTACATGGAAATTAAACAGACCTGAGGACATTGTAGTTTACATGGCTTAAGATAGATGATAAATGTGGCTTTAGTTCTTATCTTAAAACGTTCTTAAACAGAGTAAAGTAGATACTCAAAGAACCCTTAACTGAAGGAGAAGATCTCCCTCCATTTAGCTGTCATTCCCCTAACTAAATGCGTTTTCTTCCCTGCTCAGCCATATTGTCAGCAATTACTCAACGTTTCCCCTGTCAGGTGATCAAGTGCTTGCAAACACAGAAAGCGGCGCTCGACCTACATCAAGTGCCAGTCTGGGATGCAGATGCATCTCCCGAGTGCCAAGTTGGAGTCGTATTCGTATTCGGACTTCCAGTTTAACTGGCGCCGCGTTGCCAAAAGATGAAAAGTTACCCTCGCGGCGGCTGAAAAAGCGACTCGGATCCGCTTGGCCGAGTGCTGATTATGATAAATGTAAACAATTCAGCCAGGCACACAAATGCAATCAAAGGACTGCAATTACAACTTAGTTGCCGGAGCTGGGCCCAAACCAGTTCGGAGAGGCTCGGCCAGAGTATGGTGTGCCCCCCAAGAGGTTCGGCTAACATCCGCATCTCTCTTCCTGCCGCCTGCAGTGGTGTTGGTACTGGAGTATCTATGTGCCGGCGAACGGCGAGCATGTGTGTGTGCGATAGAGATATAAAAGCTAAATTGGTAACTCATACTTAATTTGTTGGCGGCACCTTTGAACACGCTTCCAATTAGCTTACAGCCGACACCTCGGGCCGGCGACTTGGCCACGTTTTGGGCCACAGGATAATGCCGCATGGAAATGATGCAGCAAAATACAAAAAATAAAAGCAAGGGGAGCACACAAAGTGGGTACCAACTGATAGCAATTTGTTTCTCTTTCCTGCGCCTCAGATTTCTGTTCCATTCATCCCGGCAACTTGATCGTGATGCGGCATATTTCGATCAAGAAATCCAAAACCTAAAAAGAAATCCCCACACAGTACGCCACACATATTTGTTAGTTTATGAATGAAATCTTATGATTCGATGCGATCGCCCTTAAAAGCGTTAATGAAGTTGTAAATTATGAAAAGCAATATTTAAATGTATCCCATAAAAGCTAAAAAAGGGTTATAAAAAAAGTTGATTCAGTTATTTTACAAAAGAAAAGAACACAATAAACGATAATTTAGATTTAAATCAAATGGGAAACAAAATAAGCGAGAAATAAATATCTTTTGTTATAAATAATTGAGAGTAAATATTTCCACTTCTTTTTTAATATTTAAAATTATTTTCTATGACTACCTCTCTTAGGAAAAAATTTCTCAACTAACTTTCCGAATATAAAATACAGAAACCCCCATAAAACCTCTTTAAATGCAATTTAGGGCCGATATGCTAATCCTCCAATCTGGTAGCGGCTAATTTATATCACGATAAGATCATATGCCAGAGGCCGCCATATCCAATCACATTCCCGACGCGATGGAATGAGATACCCCCGACCCCCATACCAGAACCCAGGGCAATCAGCCACTTAGCCCCATCTTGCAGGGAACACACACGTAGGCGCCTCCAGCAGCAGGTTCGTTGTCCGTCAACGGACCTCGAATTCGCCGGACACGTTCGCGGACAAAGACTCCAATCTTGTGTTGTTGTTGTTGCTGTGGCTTGGTCCACTTAATTCGTTTGATGGCAGAGAGTTGACGCCAGCCGCCTCAACAATACCGCTATATCGCCGATAAGCATCCAATGGCAAGAAATTTGGAAAATCAAAAGATTCACAGCTCCTACAAGCCGAAGGGAAGTGTTAATGGATGTCACTTTAGTTGGTCCCCCTCCCATTGCTCCAATCTACCTTTGGCTGACATTAAGCTTCATCAGACATTCAACTCGATGCTGAATTAGCATACAAATTACACACGAGCACTAGCACTCAAAAATGCTCCCTCTTCGGTTTCATCTTCGGGTTTTTGGTCTTTTAGTTTCTTAGTTTTTCGGGTTTTTGGTTTTCGACTTTCGGATATTTGTGACCACAACAAAAAGCCGACAAATTTCGCCCCAAACGCTTCCAAGTGGCAAACGGCTACCGATTTTATTATTGATAATGTTTTGATTTATCACAAAGATATACAAATTGCCACTGCCCCAACCGCTCGGCTGAGGTCCATGCTGTATTCTGTATCTTGCCGCAGGGCGCGGCACTTTTTGTGTATCTTATGGATAAACGCTGGGGTATTTCATACGAGACCATAATTTGTATGCGGTAGCCCCAAAGTTGTTGGTGTCATTTCGTTCCATTTCGTGTTGCCCGACTCTGGCTGACTACTTAAGTTAAGTTGAGCGATCTCCGGTGAGGTTGGTCCCAATAGACGGATCCAATACGGATTGACAAATGTTGCGGTGTGATGCAGTGTGTCAGGTCGCGTTCAGTAAATTGTTTTCGACATTTTCGAGTCGTATTTGTGGTCGAAATCTGCATAATGAGTTGGCAAAACGCTGACAGCTGTCCCAAGCTGTCGAAGATTATTCGATGATAAGGCGAGAGGATCGTTTTGCCTGCAGTCATAAGCGCATTCGTCACGGATTTTTCGCATCGGGTGCAGCTGAAAAAAAAGGTTGAGTTCGGCGTTGAGCTGAACTGAGTGGAGGATTGCTTCGAGCTGTAGTTCGCTTCGTTTCGGATCGGATCGGATCGCTCTGGGAGCGTTGATTGTTGATTGTTGACAACTGGCTGGCACAACTTCATCATCGTCAGGCGCAGGAACTGGGAACATCAGCAAAACAAAAGGCGACATTAATGCATTGCCAGCAGCCACTTTCGTACCACAAAACCCGCCGAAGGGGCGTGACAAATTTGACACAACAGCAATGACTTTATTACCAACTGACTTCAGCTCCCAGTTCCCTGGGCCCTGTTGACTGGTCTCTTTTTCCTGATCCCTGATCACCCCCCGAGTGACAATATACCACAAATAAGTGAAGAGACCTCTCCGGGGATTTGGGCTTGCCAGATGCGACAATAAACACTTTAGCTATTTATGAGGTTTTAATGAACACGGGCCTCGCCATCTTGCCCCGGCTAATGAAAGGATGTAGAGCCGATACATTTGGCTTATGAATTTGCAGAATTAGAGGCGTGTCGAAAGGCCACGAATGTGAAGTGTCGGTGCGAGTGATTTTCCTAGGGGCGTTGCCTAATTAAGATTGACAGGGCGTGTCGCGTCTATTGAGGCGCCCAATTAAGAGTCGTTTTGTAATTGATTTTGAATACGAATGCAACGGCGATAGTGAGTGTTCCCAAGGCAGACCAATTTCCCTAAATTGAATGCACAAGCGAAAGGCGCAAAACAAACTTGAGGCCTTCGAGTTCGTCAAGTCAGTCAAGTGCAGGCATTAATCAAAACAACGCGGCCATCTTGCAACTGAAAGGGGAAAGGGAAGGGATCCAAAGCTGTTATGCAAATGCAAATAAAGGAAACCCCATTAAAAGGGAAAGGAGCAGGAAGCTAGGGAAGCAACAACGAAACAGAAATACTCTATACTCCAGAAAATGTACAGTAAACAAGTAAAAGGGCTAAATAAAGTATTAGTTTTAAAAATTAAAATAATTGCCATGAAACTAATCAGTTATGCTAAATTATAGTTACACGTAATTAAATAATTTGTAAAATAAAAAGTAACTTTAATATAAACTAGTTTGTTGTAAAATATAATTGACGATTTAAACGTAGGCAACCAACCTTAAACGTTTATTTTCTCAAAAACACACACATAAGAGGATAAAGGTTATTTAAATAGGCAATACCCGCTAATTACGTTCATTATTTCAAAATAAACAATTATACCCCGACTTGAAAGGGCGTTTTAAGGGGAAGAAGACCCTATTATCGATTACGGCCCAGCAGTTACATCATTTCACTTAGCCAAGCTCCACACTCACACCTCCCATTCCCACCGGGAAAGGGCGCATTGCAGTTAAATAGACATTTGCATGCAAAATGCAAGAAAAAGCGAGAAATAAAAAGAAAACCAGGACAAACAGCGGAGCGAAATTGAATAAAAAGCTGACACTGACAAACAAACGAAGCGAGGAGCATACAGGGCGTATACGTGATAGAGCAAGCGAAGCAAACTTGCAATCAATTTGGAAATGCATTTGAGGTAACTTAGGGAATGGGAAATTGTGGAAATGGCAAGACAAACGGATGTGTGCCAAGATAGTACACAGAAAAAAATATTTCAGCTTTTTAAAAACAAAAAACCTTATAATTAGTTCATTTAAATCTCCAAATATAAAATGGTTTAAATGTTAGGATGACAATAGAGAGAAATAGAAGATGGCCATATTCTCACTGTGTGGCCAAAGGTCTTGGAACTTGAGCGCCAAAGACGCTAGCTTTTTCAGCGGAAAATAGATGAGGAGCCAACGGTACAACGAGACATCATTATTGATGACAATTGAGTGGGCCAACAGAGAGCTCCGAAAGAGCCGTAGAGAGAGCCAGCAATTACGATAATTAACGCAGTCAGCCGCCTGGAAACCAGTTGGCCAGAAGGAGAGGCACCGGCAGCGGCCCAGAGAAAGAGGGTAAGAAAGAGAGAGAGCTCGGCGAGCGCATGTCAAATTGTTCGAATTGATGACGTTTGCACGTTGACAGCGATAAGGCCGGGTGGAGGGGGCTGGAACGCTCTTGGCCCGCTGCTATTGGTCCGTTTCTGTTCTCTTTCGCGCAGCCCCGCCCACGAGATGCGCCACTGCGCGGCCGTGACGTCATCAAAACAAGTTTAAGGCCCCCAAACCGGTCGAGAGAGGTGGCCCAAAAAAAGTGCCAGAGAAATCGAGGGAGAGAGGCCACCGAGAGAATCCGCTGCCAAAGCCGTCCACGAGCCATTTTCGTTGTTGGTGTTTGTGTTGCACGTTGTGCCGTATTTTTCGTGTTGCTGCCGCGCGTTTTTGCCGACGCGTTTTTAATCGCCTCGCCACGGAGCCCCAAAATGTTTTAGCCAGCTGGAAAAGATTTGGAGTTATCCGTCAAAGATGCCGCAACGTACACCCAGTCCAGCCAATTCGGAGATCTCGGTGGGATCGCCCAGTCCGCCGCCAATGAAGGCCCTCAACATGAAGCGTTTGAGGTTGTTGAGGAGCCCCAATCCCCTCGAGAATAGCCGGCAAAAGTCATCGCCCGTACGTGTCAAGAGCTTCTCCATAGCCGACATTCTGGGTCGAGGAAATGACAAGGAGCCTCATGAAAGAAAGGACCCTCCGCCCAGTGCAATTGCAGTAGCACCGACGCTTCCCGGAGCACCCGCACCAGCTCCACTGATGCTTATCCATGAGCGATTGCAACCTCCTGCAATGGTGAGCTGTGCTCCGCCCCCCGCTGCCGGAATGCATCCATTCCTGTCGCCAGCCCTGCTCCATAGCTACGAGCAACGGCTGGCCTGGGACTACCAGCGCCAGCTGCAGGAGCACTTCCAGGCGCAGGCCCACCTGCTGCGCCACATGAGCCTCAATCCCGCCATCATTACCTCCGAGGACGGCAGCTCCGAGCGGTCGGAGCAGCGTTCCAGCAGCAGCAATGGCAGCACCGACTGCTGCAGTCCAGGTCACGGGGAGAAGCAAGTGTCCCAGGAATCCCCCGAAAAGGGGTCAAAGAAAGTTGAGGAGGGGAAGGCAACCGGGGGAGCGGCTGCTGGTGCTGACACTCCGTTGGATGCCCTCTTTCAGTTGTCCACCAAAAACTTTGATGCGGAGCAGGGTGAGTACTTCTAATCATAGTATCTATGGTACTTTTCATGATTATAAATATTTGAAAAAAGTTAAAAAATAAAAGGCTATATCCTAATATTTATTTAAAACTCTTGTTAAATTAATTTAAATTTATTTTAGTACTTGTGATATCACGAAATTAATTTCCTTACTGCTGGCTGTGCCTTTCCCTATCTCAGCAACCGCAACCAAATTACATTTTAATATAAACTGATTTCCCAACAAGACCCATCATAACCATTAGCCTGGCGAGCGATTGATCAATTGTTGTCATTACGTCTTGATGAGATTCTGCTTAAGGCGTAAAAACAGTAGTAAGGTCAGTCGGCCCGATCCGGACCGGCGCGGTCGAGGTGGCTAAATCAATTTCTGGCCCGGCTAGCCAGTCGGCTCCATCACTTTGCTCGGCATTGCTTTGATGGCAATTGCCTTTCCCAGACCCAACACAGACCCAGACCCAGAGCCAAACCAAACCCAAACCAGATACCGATGCTGATCTGAGTCTGGAGCCGCAGACTGATGGCTCTGGCGCATGCGTATCGTTCGGCCATAATTTGCTTAGCGGCGTTGATTTCTCGTTAAGTCGCAGACGCGAACCGATTTATACCACACATGAAGAAATTTATTTAATTATTTTAAGCTTAAACAATATGAAAGGGTCTGTTCCATAAAACTCTTGCTGTCATAAGTCCTAAGAAGCTATGAATATTTGTTTTATGGTTAAATCTTTCCTAGAGACTCTTCCTAATATGGATTTGAAAAATTTCTTGATATTGCATATTTTTTTTGCAAAGTGCAACCAATCCATCAACAGACCCACGGTTTGCGCTTTGTTCATCTGCTACTGAAATTGAATTTACGCGGGGCACGTACAACAGGCAATTGGTTCGTGCTCCACTCTCGGATTGCCACAGAGCCATCTAATCAGCATCAGCTGATTTGATCGGTTGATCGGTTGATCAACTGCTACTGGGATTGAGTGCCGCCCCAGGATGATGATTATGATTATCACACAGATGCAGTCGGGCCGCACTTAAGCGCCTCACTTTGCTAAAATTGTATTTTCCCAGGACAGCATCCGGTGTACAATCGCCCTTCTTAATGCCCTTGCAATTTTCCATGTTGATCAAAAGCCGTAACCGGCCAATTTGAGGGCAAGATGTGAGGAACTTCCGCCTGGTAATTAGGAGCAGCGACAACTTCAATTTTAACTCCAGCTCCAGACTTGGAGCGCCCTGCTAGCCGGTCATGACGATTGCCAGCAGATAAACCAAAGTGCAGTCCCGCATACAAAATAATTACAATGAAAATGGCTGAAAAGTTGCAGCTATTCGAACAATGGACCTGTCGTTAGGTCTCGTCAATTAGTAATGCAGTAGGCATATATGTATATTCCAAGCCACCGAAGCATAAATACACTTTTCTAATTATTAAGTTACATACATAGGTAACTAAGGTAACATAAGGTTCTTTCCAAGTTGTGTGGCTAGAAAAGTTATTTATTATGAGGAGTTTTATAAAAATTATAAGTTGATCAAGAATAAAATTTTTCATAATATAATTGACATTGAATATATATAGCCAGATGTATCTAGATTCTAACAGCTAACAAGCACTGCCTCTAGATCGTTTAGAAAGTTTCTTGTATACCAGAGAGACTCCCTTCGAAGAGGGTATTTTAGTAATTTTGTAATGAACCAGAAGGGAGCCAACATGGGCATAAAGAAAGCACATAAAGGGGTGATCAGCACGGGTTGGCTGTTGATGAAACGCCAAGACAATTGGCACAGACAGTCGTATAGTCGCTTTATTGAACGTACAGCAGTACGGCGAACGCACAAACGGCACAAAGCTGCGGCGGACGGATGCATCCCTAATTACAATTTAATTACTACAACTTTTCCCACTTGACAAAAGGCGGCGGCAATGGCAGCCGAGTAGTACCCAGCACCGAAGACCCACCCAAGCATGAACCACAAAACGCACACACACTACACAACCTCACAGATACTAAATGAAAACACAGACACAGATACTGAAACGGCGGCAACAATGATGATGGCACTTCGGGTTGACAGTTGATTTGACAGATAGCAGTGTAAACATTTTACAACGTGCGGGTTAGAGGGTCGCGGGGCGGAGCCAAATGTAAAATGTAGCCAGCTAGCCAGCCGGGTGTGAGGTGGTTCTGCCCTGAGACGAAAAGTCAAAACTAATTAGTTCAACTAGACGTATACTTAATTTTGAATGGGAGCGAAGTTGAAAAATATAAATAAGTGCTAGATTGAGCATAAATTATAATTTTAATTGGAAAAAGGGGTAGAGAGTGTGGCTGGCAAGTCGTGTGCTAACTACTACTATATTTAATAACCTATACCTCAAATTGGTAGTTGGGTAAATAGCTTTTTGAGGTACTGCTTTCCGAATAACGTGACATTTAAATTGCGTGCCTCTGCCATCTGAGCAGTAGTTTATCTACTGTGCCAGATAGATTTCAATCTTTCACATTACCGTCCTTTTAACCAGTAATTTTAGTTCAAATATTGGCTAGGCGATTGTTAGGTATTAAAAATCTAGTTTTCCGATAAAGCAAATGGCTATGCAGCCATAAACAATTTAACACAAAAATTTTAATAAAAGCAAATCTACTGTGATAATTTTTAAATGCATATCACAAGGCCGCATGGTTTTCATTATACTATTGATTGATATTTCCTCGAAAATGCATTCAAATGTGAGGTGAAAAAAACACTTCAGAACTAAACATTACGCAAATTCCTCAATGCAATTGCATTTTCATTCATTTTAAACGCTTCCCAAGAATCGTATTCAATAGACTAAATAAAGCCCGTGGCAAAATTCAACAAGCTGCGAACTCAGACAACACATAAATCATGCAAACAAAAAGAAATCACCGCCGAAGTGTAAAATAAAAATTCACTTCAAATGATTAATAGCTGCACAACGTTTCAACAAAATTCGTTAATGACATTAAAACAGCTCGCAAAAACTATAGAAAAAACTGAAATTCGTATTCGTATATTTGGGTATATTAAATGCTGTAAGGCGAGACTCGTTTGCCTCAATAAAATCAAGAAAATGTCTGCGGGCCAAAACGGTTCTAACATCAGCGGCATCTATGCATAAAATATGCATGAAATATTGCAAAATCGCCTCCGAGCAGCCGAAACAAGTTGACAAGCCGGCGCTGGCATAAATTCTCTAATTAACGGTTGCGCCTCAAATATTTTATTAAAAATTATAATTTGCCAGTAGTAAAAGTGGCAGAGAAATATGAGTTTGCGTGCCGACTATCCATAAAGCATTGGCATTAATACGGGGGCCCGGGCTCAGCAAAAAAATAAAATAAATACAAAGCAAAAACTAGCGAGACTTGCGTGGTTGGGTTTCAAAAATGGTTAACTGCCTGATTTGCTTTCACTAACCGCAACCCTCAGGGCTGGACAATCCTATATTATGCCACTTCACTATACCACTCGGGTGGTCCATCATCATCGAGGGGCGCCCCTCGAGCAAATTGCATACTTCTCCGGTCCGGTTAGAGCAAAAGTCAGAACAAGAACAAGTGACGCCTGGCCGGGAGATGATCAGATACACACTGAGATGGCAAGATACACAGATACTTAGATACAGATGCAGACCAGGCAGTCACCAGGCAGTCGGATACAAAGAGGTGTGCGAAAGCAACGCACTGAAGGTGTTACCTGCACGCTTTTGATGAGCACTAATTGAGCTCAAGTTGCATTTTTCTTTTCTGCCCAAAGGAGGGAAGTCCGGGACTCTGTCTAGAGACCTGAACTAAAGCCGGGACCGGGAAAAGGAAAGGGATCGAGAATCGGCGTCAAGATCAAAGCCAGCGGTCCGATCATAAAGACAAGCGAAAATCAAGCATCGACAGTTGCACAAGAGACAGCAAATGAGAGAATTAGCCGGGAAGACTGACAGCCAGCCGAGAGATCGAGGTGAGCCAGAAAGTCTGCTAAAGAGGGCTACATTTTGGTAATAACTCTATCAGGGCCATATGGGAGGCCCAAAAGTCCAACTGTTGCCAAATGCTAAAAGGGTTTCCTACACAGTAAGACATCAATGCAAGGATACTACTTTGTTCTTGTATAAAAATATTAAATTATATGAGAAGATATATTGAGATAAAGTATAGACTATATCTGACCAATCTCTTGCTGTGTAACAAATGAACCCCTGAAAAAAGGGGCTGGAATGCGGCATTCAAGTCAGGACCTTGTCAAAGTTCTTTAAAAACGCATTCGCATTCTCATTCCCATTCGCATTCCCATTCGCGTTTTTGCCAAACATTAATCACGGGCCCGATGTGAGGAGCCGGGACCGCCCGAGCTGTGAAATTTCGGCATGTGTCGAACATCAAAAGCCCGCGCCACGCATAAAAAGCCATTTAAAAACGCATTTTCTGCCTGGCCCATGGCCCATGGCCCCACAAAGCACTCCCCACTCTGACCCGCGGGGCTCAAAACCCAAACGGAGTCCTCCGATCTTGGCCAGGAAATGCAATTCGCGAGATTGATGCGTTCACAGACAGCCCAGCCAACTACTGCGGCCAAAGTGCAGCAAGACAAGGCCAAAAGGGGGCCAGGGGGAAAACGCATTTCCTTGCGGCTTTTCCAGCTGCAAAATGGGTCAGTTGGCGCCAAAGCTGGCCAAACCAGTTCCCTATCCTAGGTGTTGCCTTTTCCTAAAGATTGTATCTGGATCTAAGGATTCACTGAAAAAAATAGCAGCAATAATAAATAACGAAACCACTTATTATACGTAATAAATACACATACTTGTAGTTTATTTAATTGCCAATGCTATAATTTTGTTACTTTATTTGTTTTTACAACATTTTTCATAAATTTAAGCCCTATAATTTTCTTCAGTGACTTGCTAAACCGAGAGACGCGGGCGTATCTATGATAATCGTGAAAATTCACGGCGACAAATCATATTTAT